GGGAGTTGGAGTGGTGCCAATTAGGTCACTATCAGCCCGAAACACTGCTTGCGTCTATTCATTTGTTGCAGTTGCTTTAATTAGATACGTTTAATTTCGTTTTGAGAGCGCGCGGTCTGCACCCATGGCGTCATTGCCACTTTTGAAATACGGACGTTGGAACCATTCATGTGGAGGCGCCATGAAGTGTTTCTATAATAAGTGTATGTGCGTGCTTTGTTGATGCGCCAAAAGATATCAGCGACATCTAGTAGGCCAGCTGCTCTGTGCCTGCAATTTTATGTTCTTTGCGCCCAGAACGGCTCTCTGTGCAGATAAAATGGTGGTTTGAGGTGGCAGCAGGTAGCAGGACTTGTAGGTCTTTGCCAAAAAGGTGACTAACCAATTAGTGGGTTTACGTACTGGAATCGTAATATGTTTCCCTTTGTTGGTTAAACCCGGTGACGCAACGACTAAGTTTTCTCTTTGTCCATGTGTTAGGCAAATGCGGTTCATCAAAGAACTGCACTCAGTGGCGTATATTAGCAGTTCCTTTCTTAAAGGAAATTTTGTGATGCCAATTAAACTCAGCGCCATTATCGTATGGTCTGGTTGCATCATCTTCATTTCATTTGGTGAGAGCGTTTACCTTTAACAACCGCCATCTCTCCGTACTGTAATGTCTTGACAGAGGTGCATGACAAAGGCTCATCGTCTTTCCGGTCCAAGATAAAACCACAGCATTATTTCGTCAAGATATTTTGCCAAGATAAAACCGCAACATGACTCCGATCACTCACAAGGAGTTCGATTCGCTCTATGACTAAAACCTAGAGTTGTTCTGCCGCCGACGACAGAAGAATGTCAGTCCGCTAAGAAGTTAGGCTTCTGGCTATCCTGGGCAGGTGAAGAGATCTTGCACATTCGTTAGGAAATCTCGCACATCGCACATCGTCTGGCTATCCTGGGCTGGTTAAGGTAAGATCTCACACATTTGTCTCCCACTCTTTCCGAAAATTTCCAGTAATACTGTCATTGAAGTTCACAAGTTTAATCGCATAAAGTTCACCGCAAATCGAGAGACAGCTTGCGTGTGCGCCGCTTCGCAGTTCGCGGATGCACAAGGGAACGGAGAAGTAGACCGAGTATAATTCAAAGCAATGTGATCTGACGAGTTACCTTTCGGAATATTTCGTTTACTGAATTAGCGGCATGCTCTCGCGTAGGTGCTTAATAGCCCGGAACCCTCGGCCTTCCAAACGGGCGTTCCTGCAGTGCAAGATGTGATCAGCACAGAAGTGTTTAAATGATAGATCACAGTGTAGTCGGAACTGCAGGCAGTTCACCGAAATGCCACGATAAATAGTGTGAGAAAAAATTGGGAAAAGCGATGCAGTGGGAGAAAGAAGACGGTTGAAACAAAAGCTGTTCGTCAGCAGACGCCCAGGATGGACGTAACTAGCAAAGTCAACATCGTCCAAGACGGCTCTCCGCCAAACCTACGAAACTGTACAATGAAGTGTGCGGAAAAGCCTACATTCATTCAGTAAAAACGAAATGCAGTCTGGTAACAGCCTAGCTTCATCAAAATCCGTGGATTACCTAGTAGTCCAGTTACCATCCTTATACTTTCTATAGGAGACTGCACTATCGACTGCCGCAAACGTTCTTCACATAAATATGTCTCATGTATCTTGAAGGTCCAAATTAGCTGGGTTACTACTTGTGCAACTTTGAGCATTTCTCAGAATCCAAGATGGCGGTCGCCGCCATATTGAATACTGGCCCAGTTTCGAAGTTTATTTCGACGACTTAAAGGCTCATGTGATAATTTTTAAGGATGTTTGATTCAGGCAGCCCACTTTTGCAACTTTTTTTAGTGTATCGGGTCAAATTTAAGATAAAGTGAAAATCCAAAGGTCACACTTGACCATGCATTACCAGAATTACCTGTATTGATCGATATATGCGGTTTGTTGTCTTCTCGTACTCATACTAAGGGTACACTTTGCAGCAGCTACCTTCGTTACGAACTATAACAATATGAACATGTGCAACATGAGCGACACATTTATTAAGGGAGACTACAATGCTTACATAGGCATGCACTATGGATGTACGTAAATGTCCTTTCAGAAACTCGTCGCTGCTGAGCAATACGCGATGAGTGGCACACAACTCTCACTGGACGTGATATCTTAGCTCAGAAATCATGCTTCTGTAGCTGTATATCGAGAGCAAGTAGTGAAGCAAAAAAGTATTCGAGGGCGCATATAGTAATTCTCCAAAAGTGGCTGAAGTCCCATTATAGAGACTTTTATTCGAAACGAAACTGTCTGCTGTCTTGAGAACAGGATAAGGCGAAAGACAGCTAGTACCACGCAGCTGGGTACAGGTCAAACGGTGTAAAACCGTGCATAAGCGCAGCCTAATCACATTCAAGCAACACTTGAAGAAACTCTCGGGTTAGAGTGGCAGCCCTTATGCTCAGTGGGGCGATCGCTCTACATCCTGCTAAACGCCTAACACCATGCCACTTGCTACCATCGTTTCTGTGCTGTTCCCGAGCACCACCGCTCCCACCAAGGAGCCAGCTCGCATCCTACCGGTCGAATGCCCTTGGGCGGACTCCAGGTAGTCGCTCAGCTCCTGGTATGGCTTGTTGCCATTCAGTAGAAGACATGTAGCAGCGCTGTGATAATGAGACGGTTTGCCATTAGGGCTTTGTTCCAGGCCTTTCCCTTTGTCCTTCTTGTGACGCCGCCACCAAGCGCTGCACTTGTAGTTACCCTCACAACAGATCCCCCTCCGCAGTGCCCCTCTGCACTACACGGAACAACGGGAATGTGCATCATGCCCGTGTGAAGTATGCCCGTGCATCACGGATGTGTATCTTACCCGTGTGAGTGAAGTTGTACACGGAACACGGGAATGTGCATCATGCCCGTGTGAGGTATGCCCGTGCATCAGGAGTGTGTATCTTCCCCGTGTGAGTGAAGTTTGAGGTGGGCCCGTCGCTGAGGTTCGTTGGATTAGACTGGGTATGCAGTGTGATACAAGCAGGAGTCGACTGGGAGGTGGATGTGCTGCATCCCGAGAGCACTGATAGTCCTTTTGAGACACACAAACGTAGGCAGAAAGGTGTCTGACTGTCAGGCGGTGAGTCGACCATCGGCCCGAACACCACCGGTGTCTTAGACATCAGCGCAGGACCCGCCACCAGTCGGTCTTACTGAACATTGAAACCCGTCCACTCGGCCGGCTTTCCAGTCTTGTGGACTTCCGCCAGCCATGCCACACTTCACTGCTGACAAAAGCTGACGACAGTGAACTGAATCCGTGACTCTTCAGCGAACAGAGCCTTCAATCCGGAGCTGAGATGCATTCAGATTGAAGGCCCCCTCGTAGCGCTTGCACCTGTGTCGCCTGGTGGGCGAGCCGCAAAGGGGACACCACACTATCGCCGTTCTGCTGCACACGCTGTACCTGAAGGCGCTAAGACATACCAGGAGCTGAGGACTACCTGGAGACAGCCAAAGAGTGCCTGACCAGAAACACGCGAGTGAAATGCCTCTTCAAGCCTACAATGCTGTTGTTCATGCTCCTGCGCGGAGAGCGGAACAACTTCCTCCTTCAGCAACATTGTCTCAAGGCAATGCTGTCGTATTTATTCGTGGCAGGTCAATTATGCTTGCTAAATGAGATGACAATGTGAGACAGATCAAGCACATTGCCCAGCGTGCCAGGGAGGAACTACTGGTGGGTGCGCACATCTGGTGACACTCGGGGAGCAACGCTGCAGTGCCAGTAGGTCGGATATTGGTTGACGTCGGTCGGCCTGCTTGTACTTAGTTGTTTGGGCGCTGCCTGGGAACCGCAGAAGGTATGGCCAAAAGTTTGGACACTCTACTAGCCTACTGCACTCCTAGCCCCAGTCCGTTGAAGACCTCATCATGAACCCCCCCCCCCCTCACCCCTCCCCCCGAAGAAGACCTTGCCAACTTCACTTGGAACGACGAAGCCTCCGCCACCATAGCGGCTATCTCAACAGCAAGCGGTTAGTCCCGAGGCCCTCCTGGATGTAGTGGCCTCAGCTGCATTGCAGAAAACAAGACATGCAGAGTTGCACGCTGCAGACTGCAACAGCCTCAACGCAGGTCTGTGGCGTACACACCTACTGCAAGGTTAGGGAGAATCGTATGTCATAGCCGTTGCACCAGCCAGCAAGATGACCTTGAAGACAACGAAGGGGAGCTAAGTGTACATAGTAATGATGAATATGCAATGTAATAGAGGAGCGTGATGAGTGATGGCTGGTGGTGCCGCGCTGGAGGTCTCTCCAGATGTCGTGATACTGTACGTCAAAGGTCTCTCTGAGTTTGATATTTTACCTTTGGTTCAACGTGAATGACACTTCGTATCCCAAAGAAGTCCAGAAACGGACCCGGCACCCATGATAACCCTTTTACAGAATATTACACGACCATCTATGTCAGTCCAGATTGAGTATAACAACTGGTTGGCATTCAAGATGACGCCGATGGTCATTGATTCTAAGAGATGCTCAAGGTTGCACAAATAGAAACCAAGCTAGTTTCGCTTTCCTTATTATCTAAAACACACCTCTGTAAAAAGTTTGCGATAGTCAACATGGCAGGGTCAATATTCTGACAACTTGAAATAACAGGGAAGCACAAACAACATTACATCTCTCTGCCGGCACGTTATGCCAAAAAAGCCATTGTCAAACATCTCTCCAACATTGCTGGATATTGCTTAACCTGGAAGACGGAGTACCACAAGGACGCCCTACTGTCCGACACAAATATATGATGGCCATCATATCAGAAGATAAACAAGTAAACACTCGTAGCATTTTGATATAAAAGAGGAACAGTCGGCATCGCTACAGCCGCCGCCGGGCCGGTAGCCGGCCCTCTGCCGGCTACCGAGCCGCCAGCCCGCTCAGCCCGCGAGCGTGGCTCTACAGCATGTTCAGCCGTCTGTCGTCTCCGCTTCAGAGTGTCCTCAGTCGGATGACGGCATGGAGCGGTTCGCCTGCCCGTCGCCCAACCGCTACGGCCGCTACTTCTGCATAGACGACCACATGCTCTGCGACGGCTTCAAGGCCTGTCCGGGCGGGGAAGACGAGGACCGACAGAACTGCATGTTCTACAAGACGGTCAGTGCCCCTCCCATCGTACATATCCATGGCTTGTGTGCGGCGGCCGCCTCCGATACCGTTAACGTCACCCTGTTTGTTCGGCTATCATTCTATGGTGTTAGGCCTATGCATGTGTCAGCCTCAACCCAGTATAGGCAAGCGGCCATTATAAACGATATGCACTGCATGAATAATGTAGATAGCCATCACACTGATAATTAGCCAGCCAGTGATAGGTAACCCCCACCCAGGTCGAGTTGAAAGAATGTGTTACCTTGCATAGAAAACCCTTATCTGCTATCAAATTTTAGTCTTCCTTTCTCAACCTTTTCAAAAAGCTGTTCAATGACCGGTCTGGATAGCTCATTAACCCTCGCCCCCACCAAAGAGAGGCCTCAAAGTTCCCCCAAGTTGTCTTCCGGAATAACTTGGTAATGGCTTTCGGGCACAGCGCTGACTTTTGGGCACTTGAGATAGTATGTACGATAGTATACGATAGTACGATAGATAGATAGTATGTACGATAGATAGTATACGCCTTGTGAACGTTTTTGATATTTTTTGCGCGATGTTTTATAATCTGTGGATATCTTTCCTGCGATCATGTCGGTGCTATTTTACTCAAAAGTCGGAAATAGCCGTTATTTTCTCAGATAATGCACTGCAAAGAGACATCTACTTCTATTCATGATCTTATCGCTCTGGTGTTTATTACTATCGTTCTGGTTGCACTGGCAAGATGAGGCCGTGCAAATTAATGGTTGAAGCCGGGACTAATTTAGACCTCCTTGACCATATTGAATCTTGTACATTTTATGCAATTTTCAGGAAGCGTTCCACACTTGTATAGGGCTTTGAACCAAAATAACTATCTTGAGGATCATTTGGTGCATTCGTTAGGCCTACACGTGTCGTGCCTTTCATATGACCTAAACCCCTCTAGTTTCTGAGCTGTATTTCCGCGAAAATATGCAGACTACTTCCAGGCGACTTTTTCAAGGTTACCCAGGCATTCATGACGTCATAAAACCTTATTCAAATCCCCCCATTTTATTGGCCATTCGGCGATCAAGGCCAAGAAAGATATTATTGTCGAGTCGTTCATATCTTTCGCTCGCAAGCTCGATTTCCAGATATGAGGGGCTTCCATTATCTCTCAGGCAGTGTTGTGCACCATACGATGATGTAATCAAATAATGTCATATTGAGGAACATATTTACTAAGCATTACAATTGTGTTGCCTACAGCATTCCTTTCGCTTGAAAGTGTACCGGTAGTTATCTTGCTGCCTTCAATATCTTCGATTGTGGAACATTCCTTTAAATATTACAGAGAGTGTTCCACTTTCGTATGAGGTTTTGGAATGAAATTACAGCTGCCACAATAAAGCCATTTTGAATATCCCTTGGTGCAGTTAATACCCCTGTCCTGCTTAATGCTTAAAACCCTTTGTTTTTTTAGATAGACGTCCGCAAAGTTGTGCGGACTCTTTTAAGGTCAACCAGGAAAGCGTGACACCACAAAAACGTCACTCAGGTACTGCCGCCCTATCGGTCGCGCGGCGTTCAAAGTCAAAACAAGTATAATCGTCGGGTTATTCGTGTCTGGGGTACATAAGCACGATTTTTGGAGCCAAATGACTTCAATTGGCTCCCAACTAATGCTAAACATGCAGTGCAAAATTCAAACACGAGTCACGTTTTGTGGTACATTATACAGAAAGTTGATCAGTGGTGCCAGTTATTACAAAATAAGACCTGTAATCGAATAATTTAAGAAAAGTGCCATAACCAAAAAAACCAACCAACCAAACATAACCATAAAAACAAGCGAATGCAAGCAAACAATCAAGATCACGGAACAACGTGCAGGAAGACCACGAAAAAGGGTCAAAACAGGCGAACACAACAACGTTTGTGTTCTGGAAACGCCGCTCCCATTATCACGACACCTCTCAAGAAGTTGAAGTGCTATAATTAAGTCAGCCCGTTCGCAATGGTGGCAGTTTCGTACGCCCAGTTTAGCAGCCCTCTGACGTCAACAAACGTTCCATGGCGCAATGAAACGATGACGTATTGAGGACCATATTTACTAGATAGCAAAATTTCGCTGTGTTTTGTTGGTGGTTTTTTTAGGGCGCGTCGGCGTCAGGGTCATTTTGCGCCAACTCGATGACGATTGTCCATATCTGCAACGTCACGCGACAAGCATGTTTTCAACTAGTAGCAAGCGGTACCACCTGTGCGCTTACCTTGAGGGCTCAGTTAAAAAATGTGAAAGTTGTTGTAAAGGGCAGTTTTTGTACCGGAAATTATACAACAAAAATTGCAAGTGAGCTTATGTCATGTCTGATGGAATACATATATATATATATATATATATATATATATATATATATATATACATCTCTCTCTCTCTCTTCTCTCTCTCTCTCTCTCTCTATCTCTCTCTCCTCTCTCTCTCTCTCTTCTCTCTCTCTCTCTCTCTCTCTCTCTCTCTCTCTCTCTCTCTCTCTCTCTCTCTCTCTCTCTCTCTCTCTCTCTCTCTCTCTCTCTCTCTCTCTCTCTCTCTTGCAGCTTTTTACTTTTTACCTGAAACCTTTTTAACACCATTTTCCCCATTCAAGTAGTGATAACAAATTTCACTGAACAGTGTCAGTGATCATCGTCCCAAGGACCAGAAGGTTCTGAAAGAGTAATGCGACTAATTATGGGAATATATATTCTCCATAATCCCTTACATTACTGTTAGCCAATGTAAGGATTCTAGAGAAGGAAATTACCAACGCTGGTCAGTGCATTTTTTATCAGAAGTGGTGGTGGCTTGTTTAGTTCTTGATGTAGTCGGACGGCTAATGCAGCAATGGCCCTCACATAGTTGACTTGATTTTGCCCATTTTAGGTCACACCTGCTAGGACCTGATTTGATCCGGCAAAAGTAGCATTCACTATTGCTAATTTTCACAAATAGATCAAACAAAGCTCGCAAAGGGCTTCCCACTACCGCTTTTCTGAGGGCTGGAGTTTTCCAAGTTTTAGAGATCTTACGGATCTTACCATTATACCCCATGTAGAGTAAAGGCAGGAGCAAACACGTAGTGAGAGTGTTGAAGTTAAAGTGCTCGGACCAAACTTTTGGACGATTATCCACAAAAAACCGGAGCAAGAGGTTTGACGCAGTCAGAGCGTCTTTATCGGGAAAAATATGTGCAAAATTTCATCTCAGTTATACTCGGTAGGCATTTTTTTACGTGCAGCAATCATGATATCGCTTTAGTGCGTGAGCTCCTTTGTAATGGTAGTATACGTCAGTGGAGTGCGCATGGCGGTTTTACCGCTGTCTTGCTTTGGCTTTTTTTTACTCTTAATATAGATAAGGCATTCCCTATTCCAATTCCATAAATCGGATCAGTGGAATTATTTTCCCGGCACGCCTAAACGCTTTTAAGAATTAAATCATTGCACTTCATTGTGGTAGAAATAAGATGTTGAAATGCAAGTACAAGGAGCATGGGTATGAATATCAAGCTTTTATGGCCACATATTCGTGCTCTGGATGCAGTGGAAGTGGAGTGGTTTGGGTCAAATATATTTTGCTTCCTGACCTTTATCAATTCAGCATTATAAGCCGACGTCGATATACTTCACAGCACAAGAAAGGTCAAATGGTCAACTTCACAGGCGAGTAGCTTGCGTGCTGAATTGAAGCTGTGAAAGTGAATTGAATGTTGAATTCATGAAGGTTAGCGACCTATATATATATATATATATATATATATATATGAAACTAAATTACTTTTCTACTCCACTGAGGGCAGGCAGCCTTTACCCTTTACATGTTCACTTAAACATTTTTTTGTCAAACACAATGAGCGACTCTATCGTTTGGTTTGCTCATGAGCCATGACATTTATTTTCCGTTTCCTCTATTTTGTTTGTTCGTTCTGCGCCTCGCAGCCAAATGAGTATGTGTTATTTCATTACTGTTTCATCTTGCTGTCACTGTTTATTTGGCTCTTATTGCTGCAGGTCGACAAAAACTATGACAAAAAAGTTCGCATTTACACCCACATATAAAATATAAACGTAAAGGGCGATCCAAATAACCACATGATAAGGGCGTGTACGAGCTGTAATATAAGGCAAAAGAAGCACTGCGACTGTTTTTGTTGCCAGGGCTTTCGAGGATATATTGGAATTGACGTGCAGATTGGCTAGAAATGATGTCACAATTTTGTAACTAATCGTACCGACGGGCCGACATTGGCGGGTTCCCCAGGCGGTCCCCTGTCTGTCTCGTTTTTCTCCTCATCTCCTCGGCTGATCCCTGCGGGGCGCCCGCGTGCTTCCGGGGATCCAGCCTGGCACGTGTGGCATGTGGCGTGTATGCGGGCATCTACCTTGTTTATCGCTGTAAGTTGAAACGCTGCTTCGGCGCAATTTTGCAAAGGCTGCAAAGGTGTTCGTAGATCCCAGAAGACATCAACGCTTGTTGCACATCGAATAGCTTAATGGGAGCGTGCCACCTTCGTGGTACTTATTACATATTGATAGATCAGACGTGTTGGATTTGGTCGATGATGATACTAGATTTCTGAAATCATTCGAAATGGTTCAGAATTTCGATCTGAAGTAGCCGCTCCACCGGGGGTAATCTATTGCTTTTATCCATAATAATTAAATTATCCATAAAAATAATCCTGTGGTCCGTAGCAGCTGACGACAACCCATGGCCGATTCTGTCGTCGTCATGATGACGACGAGTGCGACAACCGCAGTAGTCGCGGATTACGGCTACATTCTGGGGTTACCAAAACAGCAAAAAAAAAAACAAAACCAGAACTAACAAAGAAGTTCAGTGCGGTGACAAGACGTTAAAAGCGTAATTTGGACTCGAGCTGCAGTTTCACTATCCGCTGCTATTATCATATGTAGCTGATCGCGTGGTTACACCAGAGCACGTTTTGAAACATGCCCCAAAGGTGGTACCATCTCTCCAACAGCGCTACCCTTCACCTTCATAAGCTAGAGAGCGATGCGTGTAAACTTTTCGGATTACCCGAAGTGGTATTTTCCTAAGCAAACAAATGAAGTTCTCCAAATGCTGTCAGGGTGTAACGGACGTGATGGGATATTTTGATCGCTGCGTGGTCCAAATGCTGTCAGGTGTACCGGACGTGATGGGATATTTTGATCGCTGCGTGGTCCAAATGCTGTCAGGTGTACCGGACGTGATGGGATATTTGATCGCTGCGTGGACACGGGACAGTCATGCGCCAGATATGCATGTGGCGGAGTCAGGGGCCACACTGGAGAGGCGTGGCTCCGAACTGACGTCAGTTGCCTTCTCCTAACTGTTGTCGGTCCGAACTGAATTTGTCTACGGTATCATATAGCTCAGAGATGACGCCAAACCATTTCTACAAAACCTTTCTGGCGATAACTTTCGCGTGGTACGCATTTGGCACTGTCTGCACGACTTCTTGTGTTTCTGCGCTTCTGGTTGATGCTGCCTTGTCTCCTGACATTGGTTCCCTGGCCGCAGACCAAGACACATCTGAACGTGTTGGCGGACGCGCTGCTTCGCTGGATCCGAGGGCGCTAGATGCCGGCGGATCGGACGCCGCCGCTCGCAGCCGCTCGGCCATCGGCAAGCGCGGAGTAGCTACGGCCCGGAGCCGACCCGGACTTCGGCCGCCGCCCAGCGTGGGAGCGTCGTCCCCGGACCGGAGCAGACCCGGACTTCGGCCGCCGCCCAGCGTGGGAGCGTCGTCCCGGACCGGAGCAGACCCGGACTTCGGCCGCCGCCCAGCGTGGGAGCGTCGTCCCCGGACCGGAGCAGACCCGGACTTCGGCCGTCGACCAGCGCGTGGGCGTCGTCCCGGACCGGAGCCAACCCCAGTCGCTGCCCAGCGCGGGAGTGCCGTCCCCGGACCGGAGCCGACCCCAGCCGCTGCCCAGCGCGGGAGCTCCGTCCCCGGACCGGAGCCAACCCCCAGCCGCTGCCCAGCGCGGGTGCTCCGTCCCCGGACCGGAGCCGACCCCCAGTCGCTGCCCAGCGCGGGACTGCCGTCCTCGGACCGGAGCCGACCCCCAGCCGCTGTTCAGCGCGGGAGTGCCGTCCCGGACCGGAGCCGACCCCAGTCCCCAGCGGGGAGCTCTGTCCCGGACCGGAGCCGACCCCCAGTCGCTGCCCAGCGCGGGAGCTCCGTCCCGGACCGGAGCCGACCCCCAGTCGCTGCCCAGCGCAGGAGCTCCGTCCCCGGACCGGAGCCGATCTCGGCCGTCGAAGCCCGTCTCGAGCCGCTGGTGTCGGGGTTCTCACGCTGCCGGCCCTGCCAGACCGCTGTGCACGATTCTGCGCCGCGGCCGCTCTGATACCATGGCTCTTTTCAAGCGCGCAGCGCGCAGCGCCTGTTGATCTCTGAAAAACGCCTTGTCTCCGTCTCCAGGCATCACTCATGGGACGTTTTCATTGGATCTCTGC